AAAGAAAGACCTATTTTGGCGACTTGGATTGCTGCGTTCGCCACGTGCACGCTCCTCTGTGACATACGATAGGGCCAGCCGCAGGAGCAGCCGGCAGATCGGAAATCGTTTCGATGAGCAGCGCGGCGTACTTAGCAAAGAGGTCCTGGAAGCAGTCGAGAAAAAGCTGGATGAATTCTTCGCTTCAAGTAGGAGGCGACCGTGGGCGCACGGTCTGCAGGAAAAAGACGTGGAGCATTTGATCAAGTTCGCTAGAACTCTGCCTGATCCGTTGGCTGGGTTAACCGTCGACCCTGTTCGAGAGGTAAGAGCCCCAGGGGGTCTTCTGCAGCACTGAACGAAAAATGATATTCTGCTGGGGCTCCTAGAAATGAAATTCACGCCAGCATGGCCTGTGACGCGGCGACCAATTAATTTTCTCGCGAAAGCGATGCGGCGATGACAGTTTATGTCCACCTAATTTTGTGTTGTCTCTTAGGCGGCAAGTCCATGGGTAGACGGAGACCACACCGTAAGCTTCGCAACCAGGTAAATATTCATGCAACAGCTTAGGTGTATCCCGCCAGATGCTGTACCCCGTCCCGACACGTTTTACTGTCCCGTTATTTTAGGAGAGCTATGGTTGTTTCGGCATCGAAGATACCGACCTTGTCGCGGAGTGTTTCCTGAAGGGGGGCGGCGGCAGTACATGGCGGGAGGTTGGGAACACCGGTATCAACGAAGAAGGATGGGGCGTGCAAGATGAATGCGTTGGCAGCGGGTGCTTTCAACATACGGCACGGAGACGGCATTCCCAAGGTGATGCTGATAATTGTGCGTTACCGTGCCACCGTGTTCACAATTCCTCGGCCATAATACAGGAGCTACAGTAGCGGTGGCTAGCGGGTTGTGGAACTTGAAGGAGTGGGTGCCGGTGTCGTGCCTGAGGTTGGGCCGGAAATCGAACAAGATGCCGACGTTGTACCTGTCCTTCTCCGTATGTCGTGGACCGGAGGATGGATGCAAGAAGTTCAGCACGGTACAAGAGTTCCGTGCTTTGCAGCTAGCAGGAGACAACCGCCCTACAACCACTTCGTGCTATTGGTCAACACTCTTTCAGCAGCATCGTTGGATAAGGTAGGAATGGGCCACTGTACTCGGCACCGCTGGTTCCGCGTACACAGTAGAGTCCTAGCCCCGTCCGACTGTGTGAGTGTACATCAACTTACCAGAGCCCACCCCCTAAAAACAAACGAGAGTTAGACGGTGCTTCAGGCCAGAGAGCCGTATATGCAATAATTGATTTTCGTGGGCTGGAGCTCTGGCACAGGATGATGTAGCAACCAGGGAGGCACAGTATTACGCAGGTGCGTGAATGATTGTCGCCTCTGACGTTGGTTCCCGCGCGATGTCTTTATCGCTGGTCTATCCCATCTAATACTTAAGCTCATCGCTGATGAGGCAGCCATCACGGAGAGGGAGGCTCAAGCGAGAGAGCAAGCTCGCGCAGCGGAGGCTGCCGCCGCCGCTGCTGCAGAACG